AACAGAAGCAAAAACTAATGGTGAAGAAGCGGGCAGACTGATTGGATAAAGTGGTCCACTACTGGTAGCTCGCAGAAGTACTGCCCCCGTTGCTTTGTCCTTAATCAAAAAAGAATTTTTATCAAAAATTACAGTACAGTTATTATCAGCGCATAGCCTCTTAATTGAAATTAAATTATATTTTAACTGAGGCACGTGATAAACAGATTTTAAGGTGAGAGGACGACCAGACGTAGGTAATGCAACATCACCAACATGACAAATGGGAAGATGGTCACCATTGGCAACACTAACAGAATTATAGCCGGCGTAAGGAGATTTATTAACTAAAATACCTTCAGATGTAGTCATATGAGCAGAGGCTCCTGAATCAGGAAACCATAAAGCAGGAGTAGTGTCACCGGGAGTAGTCAACAGAGCAGGGGCGGTCGGTTGTGTGAAACGGGAAGGACAATTTAAAGCTGAATGACCTGCAGAAAAGCAAATTTGACAGACAACAGGATGGGGAACAGACCCAAGAATACCCCCATCTGATGGCAAGCCTGCAGAACTACGGTTAGTAACACAAACAGGTAAAGCATTAATATTTAAATGTGACACAGCAGAATTACAAATAACAGTACCCGTAGATGTCACACCCCCTGCATGTGAAGTATATCCAGCTGGACCCGGCTGACCACCCCCTCCGGGGTTATAAACGGACTGCCCTTGAGGATACCAGTAGGCTGGCGGCTGACCCGGCTGACCATACGGAGCGGGTTGCTGTCCTCGACCGCGTCCTCGGCCACCGCGGCCTCGCCCACGACCGCGGCCTCTGCCTCGCTGCTGGGAACCAGACTGCCGCTGTTGCCCGACCGGGTATTGCTGCTGCCCGACCGGGTATGCTGAGTTCGATGGCTGGTGGCCCGCCTGCTGTCCAGACGGCTGCCCGGGAGTAGAAACAGCCGTACCAAACGCTTGATGGAAGGACGAGGACTCCTGGGAGCGGAGATAAAGGACCCGCTGCTCTAACTCAAGAAGATGATTACGGAGAGTCTCAAACGGGAAATTTTGTCCAAATAATGACACAGCGGTGAATAAGGATTCGTACTCAGGGCCGAGACCCATAATAGTAGTTTTTAAAATTTCCCGTGGAGGCACAGGGCAATTAATTGTGGCAAGATCATCAGCCAATGTTTTAATTTCCCTTAGATAATTATCCATGGACTGATCAGGTTTCTTTTTGATTTGATTAAATAATCGTTTTAATTCCATAGATCTGGCTAAACTGGCAGACATAAATCGAGACTCCAACCGCTCCCAAATCTCATAGGAATGTTTTAAATCACGTACATCAATAAGAACATCCCGAGATAGGGTTGCAAATAACCAAGAACGGATTGTTTGATCAATTCGCAACCATGTGGAAAATTCCGGATTGGGAATGCGATGGTGAAGAGTATCTATGGAATAAGCAGGAGGTACCTGAATTGAGCCATCAACCATGCCAAGGAGGCCTTGTGAAACTAGAAACGATTCAAACTGAGTCCTCCAAGTAGTGTAGTCTTCCACCGCTAGAAGTTTTGTAGTCACGATATTTGTGACATTAGTTGCCACATGCGAAATTGTGAGGGCTAGCTCGGTCAGAGGGGAGTGGGCCGAACGAGTAACAGGTTCATGCCTAGGATGCAGCGTGGAGGAAATACCGGGCGATCCAACGAAAGTAGTGCCAGCGAAGCCCGTGGTCGCGAGGGGGGGTGGCTCGAGCGAAACAGCTTGCACTGGGGTCGGAGACCATGTAAAAGCCGGTGGAAAATTCGGAAAAACAGAGTATGGCAAAGAGGTCCGACTTGGAGACGCAAAGTTGGAGGAGAAGGTCACGCCGGAGGAGACGGAACTAATCGCCGGCAGCGATCCAAAAGAGAGAGGAGCGCCGGTCGATTCGGTGGTGTTGGCCGCAGCAGAGGAAAGAGAAGTCGGCTGGCTGAGATCTGCAGAAGCTTGCGACGACGGTGGAGCTGCCATGGTGAGCTTTGCGTCGGAAAATTGTTGGAGGCGGCGGCTCTAGGGTATTGCACGCGACGCCCGGAGATGATTAGAGAGGATCGGAAAAAAAATAATATTAATGTGCTCTTGATACCATGTGAGAATAATGGAAAAGGTTACTCCCTAAGGAGCCCTAGCAGATATATTTATAGTAAAGAGAGTTTGATGTAAAGTACAATACTAAGTCTCTAATAATTCTATTAATGACTGATGAAGATGACTGAAATAATAGCCAAATTGACGTTCTAGCTGGAAAGAAAGGTGAGGAAAAGGATTGGAGGGCCTACGACAATGGATGTAGAGGCTGTGCAGTACGTATTAGGGCAACATTGGTGCATGGCAGCTACGATAGCACATTGACATATGGTATGTGGAAGGAGGCAGCGGCGGTGGCCGGATGCAATGTAGTAGTAGCAGGGAAGCGTTGGTGGCTCGTGCGAGAGAATAGATGGGACTGAACTCTGAAGATCTCCTGGCTCCTAGTTGTCTGTCCAATGTAAGTAGCTAGGGAGTAGATCAAAGGTAAGTTTTTCGCGTAAAAGTATATTTGAGTTCATTCATGATTATTTAGTCACTTTTTGTCCTTGTGATTAGAAATTTATCCAATTAAAACTCATTGATAATATTATTGTCGTTTATTTTTCTGTTTTAAGAGATTCTCATGATTGTATTTGTTATTGACATATGTAATGGAAATAGTTACTAAAATAGAGATTACTTAAAAAAATGTGATTAGTGATTATAATAGTAACTTAATCATAATAACTTATGTTCAATTTTTAGACTTAAGTGACCATATCACTACATTGTAGTACTTTTACTCATATTTGTGTAAATAAATTTTATTTTAGTACTCCGTAATAATCATGAAAAAAACTCTTTGTATTGAGAGTAGCGGAGAAAAGTTCAAATATGCGGAGTCTAATGTAAAATCAAACTATCCCAATTAAATCAGTGATGGTGAGAAAATTACTCTTTGTATTGCAAAACTAACCGATGGACGTAACTCTTAACTGGTAGATAGGAAGTGTCAAAAGAAATAAGTCTTATTTTCGAATCCCGACAACTGCGATGAGAGATAATCATGTAAATTAAAGTGTGTAGAGTTTCTGCAAGTACTCGAACTAAAACTCCACCCTCTATCTATTAGTCTGTAATTAAAATGCAATTTACATCATCTCAATTAACTGTTCGATCGGTGTTAAGGGGCTCAGGGCTTTCAAGGGTGGAGTGTGTTGGATATTCATACATATACCAACAAAACTCCATATGCGATATATATATAAATATATAATAGCTAAATCCATATAAATCCATGAAATCAAATATGTATGAACTAAGATTAGAACAATACCTTGAGAATTCATTTGCATTAACACTTTAGGAAGACCCAGAAATCCAAGACCGCTAGTAGGCTAAACCTTCCGATGCAGTGTATCGTATATGAGATGTCCTAGTCCTATATATAATAGATGGGATATTTATAGAAGTAGTTTTACATTGTAACGGTTGGCCCTTGATTAATTCTAATAATTCTTTAATTATTGCTGCAACAATGGTATTATTTAGAGTAATTTATTTGGCATTTTCCGTTACAATATCTTTACTGTTATCTCTTAATTTGCACGCACCGGAGGTCATAACCGTTGTATCACTTTAGTATAATATATTTAACTTGACCCGTCACCAAAAGAAATATATTATCCTGGTATCTACACTTTTATTATTTCATAAATAGCCACTGTATTATTTATCTGATGGAAACACATTTTAATTAATTACATATTAGGCCCCTTTTATTGTTTTCCAACAATCTTCCACTGGGCCTTATATGTAATTCTTAATAAAATGTGTTATCTTTATGAGCTCAAAAATACCATCATATAAAACAACATCCTTAAACAATCTGGTTCATCAGACATACTAATATAGAACCATTGCAGCATTTTGTTATGTTAAACATAACTATCACTACTAGAAAAATGCTCTATACTGACACTAAATTAGTGTCACTAAAAAATTTAGTGACACTTAAAAAGTGTCAACGAATGGTGGGAGTTGTGACACTAAATTTAGTGTCACGGTAAAAGTGTCAGTAAATTACGACACTATAGTATCATTAAATATAATGATACATTGGTATCATATACTATAGTGATACAATAATATCATAAAATATAATGATACATTTGTATTGGGATTCTTAACGATACCTTCATATCACATATTTTAGTGATACCCTAGTATCATATCTATATATATACACATATGTACACACATATGTACTAATTAGTGCTCTCACGAGGTAAATATAGATAAATAATAGAAATGCCATACAAACATATTCATTTATAGATAAAAATTATAATACAAAGTATTCTAAAATTACAACTTCATAATTTATCCGAGTGAAACAATTACAAACACACTTTACTTGCAGTCGAGCACAACTAAAATTACTAACAAAATGACCAAGTGTATGCTTCTGCTTTTGGAAAGAAGATTTTCCATCTACGCACTCCTAACCATCTCTTCCAACTTCTTCATGTATTATGTTCAACCATTCCTGGACTTAATGTCCAAAAGAACAATAGACTTTCCTCCTGTAAAAGAGAGTTGTAAAAAATCAGTTTTCACTACGTGAACATATAATCTACACCATTCACTCTCCCTTATGAAAATGGTGAAAGCTATGACAAATTAGATATAATATACATTGATTAAGACTAACAAAATGACTTCCCCCACTTCAATGTTAGAGGAAGGAGGTGATGGATTCCTGAACTTCTCACCAACAGCACAGCATGGTATCAACTTGTATAGGATTGCTATCACCTTGTATAAGACTAATAGTATTATCCTCTGAAAGAAAAACTACGATACTGGAACACAAGAAAATATAGTTGCATAACTTTCCATAAGAATAGAGATGTGATAATAAAAGTAAAGATTCAATATAATTATCTAAGAAAAACAGAGAATGAGATACTGCACACACTTTCCTTTTTAGCGGGTGTTACAGTTTGGTCCCAGTTTACGGAGTTGCCATTTACCTTGTACTCAACATTTGTGATTGAGGCCCGCCATGGTTTTAACAAGAAAACAATACGACTATTCATCAGGGACACAATCAAAAGTATTATTTTAACCATTGTGATAGGCCCACCTATTGTGGCTGCAATCATTCTGATAGTTCAGAAAGGAGGTCCTTTCTTGGCCATATATCTGTGGGGTTTCATGCTTGTCCTGTCTCTTGTTATGATGACGTTATACCCTATCCTAATTGCCCCACTTTTTAACAAGTTCACCCCACTTCCTGATGGTGAGCTTAGAGGAAAAATTGAAGACCTTGCTTCCTCACTCAAATTCCCCTTAAAGAATTTGTTTGTTGTAGATGGATCAACAAGGTCAAGCCATAGCAATGCATACATGTATGGATTCTTCAAGAACAAAAGGATAGTCCTTTATGATACATTGATTTAGCAGTGCGAGAATGATGAGGAGGTTGTTGCTGTCCTGGCGCATGAATTAGGCCACTGGAAACTAAATCATACAATGTACACCTTCGTTGCTTTCCAGATCCTCACATTCTTACAGTTTGGAGGGTACACACTCCTTAGGAACTCAAAGGATATGTTTCAGAGTTTTGGCTTTGACACTCAACCAGTTCTTATCGGGCTTTTGATTTATCAGCACACTTATTCCTTTGCAGCACCTTGTGAGTTTCAGACTCAATCTTGTTAGCCGAGCTTTTGAATTTCAGGCTGATACCTTTGCAAAGGAACTTGGGTACGGTTTACCTCTTCGTGCTGCTCTCGTAAAGTTGCAGGAGGAAAATTCATCTGCAATGAACGTAGATCTTTGGTATTCTTCTTACCATCACTCTCATCCTCCGCTGGTAGAAAGATTGGCTGCAACTGACCAAAATGATAAAAAGACAGACTGATCATGGCTTCAGGCAAACCACTCCCCCACCCATCCACTCCCAAAAAAGAGCAGTAGAAAAGAATTACTTCGGATAGTTAAATTGCAGATACATTATCTTCGCAACATAAACCACTCTACCTATCTTTTGCACCTCAACTCGTTAAGTAATGCTCGAAAAAGGGAACTTTTGGTTATTTTTTTCTTAATTTGGCCTAACCTGCGCTACTAAACCACATCTAAGTTGTAGGCTTAGTGTACTTGTTTTAGAAAAAGTGAACTTACGTATAATGTACAACATTATTAGTACCTAGTAATGGGTAATGATACTGGATTTGAAGTCTGATACTTGGGAAAAAAAATTATCTAAGAAAAACAAGAGAAGTAAAAAACAAAAACAAATTTGATGGCTTCTGTCACAAAATTTAAGAAAATAAACATATTCACTCACTCCGGTAATTTAAAAACTGTTCAAACCGTATTTGCAAGGACCACATTCATTGATAATTATAATGCAGTTTGGAACCCCAAATATACCTATTGGAAGAAGATTTGTGATACAAAAACCGATTTGGTTACACCAAGTGGAAGCCTTCGGATCTGCTAGAGAATTACTTTGCACCATTGTGGAGAGTATTTATCTAGAAAGGAGATTTAAATTATAAGAGCCAATAAATATCAACACACAGAAATAGTGAGTGTTTTAACTTCGTTCAACAAGAAAGATAATATATCTAAAAAAAATTAAACTCAACATTTGTTACTTGTACTATAACAGCTTACAGAAAGGTGCTTCCTCTTTATGTACCATCATTGGTATAAACTCACCCTTTATGATCACATTATTAACTCACTATAAACATGAAAAAGGATTACAGAAAGTCCAAAGTATGAAGAATGTTATTTTAGAAAAGAATATAAAGTTTAAGAAATAACCACATACTTATCAGGATGATTTTACGTGCATATGGTGGTTTATAAGAAGTATCATATCCACATCTTCATTCAAATAATATTTAAAAAACGATTAACCATGTCAGATGCATGAAGTGAATACAATTGAATGTTATTCATAACTGGTAGATGGTGCTTTTTTCATAAACCTGGAGTTAGTTGCCACATTTGTATAGATCGAGTGACAAACCTGGGTAAGTAAAGCAAGGTGGTTGATAGGCTTCACACCAAAAAAGCAATAAATGGATGGAGCAGGAAGTGTGAGATCAACACTTGAGGCGTTGTACCTAAGACAACACCATGGATGATTAATAATGTTCTAGTACCCAATACTATATTAATTAATCCATTTAATCAAACACAGAAGCCTAAAAATGTAAACTAAGGGACTGAATGTGTAACTAAGGGACTGAATGTTATTGTGCCTGACTAAGTATGTACTGATGATAACCGCTTTCGAGGCGTTGTAGTAAAACGGAGTCTAACCTTTCGGTTTTTTTTTCCGAGTATCGTGTCTCTCGAGGAATGGCGGAGGAGCTTCTTGATTTCAAGTCTAGTCACAGGTTATCGCAAATTATTGGAAGCTTTCCAAATTAAAACTTTTGATTGATTTTCTAAACTACTTTTTGGAAAAGAAAGTAAATTAAATTGTGCAAATACTAATGATGGCTCAAAAATAGACTAAAGGAAAAAATATAATATTAAACTTAAATGGATTGATGCAAATAAGGGCAATGAATTGAGTAATTAGAAATGGATATATTCTTGGACCTAATAATTAGGGAAATTAAAACTAAAAGTGGACTAATAATTTCTTTCCTCATAGACAGGAATAGAAACTATTTTCATTAATTTATCCTATTTCTAGGTGTCATTAATGTGTTCAAAATGGTTGGCTTGAATTAAATTCTAACCTCATAGACAAGGTAGAAATAATTCTCCAATATTTTAATTAATAAAAATAGCCAAATTCATTAACTAGTTAAACTCATTATTTAAGCAATTGAATTTATCTCTCATAGACAAGATGTAAATCCCTTTCATTAAATTATCCTATTTCTAGGCCTTATTAATGTGCTCGAATATGGTTGGCTTAAATTATTTTCTAATCTCATAGACAAGTTAGAGATAATTTTCTAAGAATTTAATTAATGAATATGGCTAACAATTATTAATTACTATTTCATCATTTCAAACAACTAGTCCCCATTATTAATTTTAATCCCTAATTTTTTGGTCAACAAGTCAATCCATATTCCTTTAGTCAATTCATGCCCAAAACAAATTTAGCTAATAAAGATCATTTTAACAACTAACAATATAATGAATATATTCAACATTAACAAGGAATTAAACATGGATGATAGCAAAACTTATATTCTGGAACAATAAACTTGTAGAAACTGAAGTATAACTTTCTGGAATTTTTCACGAATTTTTGAACCTAAAATCCAATTTTAACAACTAATTGATAATTTTCCCAAATTTAACTAGAAAATGCAAAAAGCAACTAAAATTATTGTAAATTCGTTCTAAATTTTATATTGACTACTGGGAGTGATATTACTGTGAATTAAACTAGAATTAGGACAGAAACTAATTTTTTTTCCTTTTTGAGTATTTAATTTAATTTATGCAATAATAACAACTAAATGCCGGAATTAATTAAAATTTACTTCTACTTCGTAAAAATTAACTTTGTTTGGATAAATAACTACCTTGAGGCTAGTAAACAACTATATAATTAATTGGAATGGATTTAATGTCAACAACTATTTTATTCAAATTTAAGAAGAAAATGCGAAATAGTGGAATAATTTTCTGAAAATTTTAGAAGCACAGATAGAAAAAACTAAGTACAGATTCAGATTCTACTCATTGAAAGGATGAAAATACATATAAAGGACTCACAATTTGGAGCTAAAATGAGAAAGATATGAAAGATTGAAGTTGAAGGTGCAACAATGGTGGAAATCCGAGCTTTGAGGAGGAAGAAGACGCCCTTTTTGATCTGATTTGGGCTTGAAATTGGTGTGTTTGAGTTCAGCAAAAATCGGGCAATTTATAGGAAAAATTTCCCCGAAGGCGGCCAACCAGGCGGCCGCCTTCCGCCTCTCTCCGGCCGCCTTCCGTCCTCGTCGCCGACAGCGGTCGGTGGCCGGTCTCCGTCAGCCGTAGGCGGCCACAGAGGGCGGCCGCCTTCCGCCACAAATGGCCGCCTGCCGTCTTGTCGTTGGCAGATCGGATCCTGGCGGATCCCGGCGGATCCCGGCCGCCGCAGGCGGTCCAGCAGGCGGCCGCCTGCCGTCCTGTCTGGCCGCCTGCCGTCCTGTCTGGCCGACCGGTGGTTGGTTTCGTCCCCTTGTGCCGCAGGCGGCCACCGAGGGCGGCCGCCTTCTTCCTCGTGTCGGCAGCCTTCGGTCTTTTCCTGGTCCCGAGTCAAAGCGAGGTCGACTTCTGATTTTTCCCGTAGGCGGCCAACCAGGCGGCCATTTTGGGCGCCTATTTGGGCGCCTTCTGCCACTTTTGTCTGGCAGATGCGGCTTTTCCTGCTCTTCAACTTCGTCTTCTGAATCACCTTGATAAAATGCTTGCTTCTTCCGGTATAAATGCATTTGTCACTCAAATTGACTCATTTTGTGCTCAATTGACCCGAAATCCCGGGAAACATATTATGAATGTGATTTTCACCTGATTTAATGAAACTTGAACCAAAATATATAAAACATGCCTTTTCTTTCTATTTTCAATCAAAAATCGCTTAAATTTGATAAGAAAAATAAGTACAAAAATGGACTTATCAACTGACACTTAGAAACTTTTAAAAATTTTGGATTGTAAATGTATGTCAGGAGAGAGTGATATTTAGCAACTTTAAACAATTAGGACCGTAATTGTTAGTATAGACTAATATTTATTGTGTTAGACAAAAGAATATGATAACCTAAAATTGATTAGTTAGTTGTTTTCAAAGTGTGATGTTAATATTAGCAGTTTTCAGAACATAAAATAAGTTTAAAATAGTTCTTAAATTCAAAATCTAACTAGATTTGTTGAAAATTTAACACTGAAATGATAACAGGTCGTCGGACTCATCCTGGCCTATTCCTGCTAGGTCATCAGCTACTGTATAGCCTACAGGAAGGTAGCTCAACAACTATTTAGTAAATAAATAAAATCAATATCAACAGCTGATATATAGTAATTAAACTAGTTCCACAATTGAATGCAACTACAAAGAATGAACTCTTTTAATCAAAACATTGAATTAAAAGACAATCAAATAGATGAAAGTGATATACACTTACAGACAACCACTACATCATGTCTTTCAAGTAGCTAAAGCACATCAAAATCTACTATTGCTGCCTCACAATACGTTAATGCTCCTGACATTTTTATGGCATAAAAAGTATAACCAAGCATATAAAAGCTTTTAGATTAAAAACAATTAGAATAAAAATTAATTATGGGAGTAAATCGAGTAGATAGAGGATTTGGACAAGAAAATACCGGCTAGATCCTTTATCCATTGATTGGAACCCTGACCATAAGGAGAAGGCGAGGAGTTGCCGACTTGGTCAGTCCGTCTGTTAGCTAGGGCTGGAGTGAGGTCGAGAGGAACCCAACTAACCCCTATTCTGCCGCAAGATTTGACCTAATTGGAGCAGCTTCACACTCTCGTCGCCATCATACCTTCGCCAGATTTGTTTCACTAGCAGATTTGGTGCGAAGAAGTTTCAGATAGAAGAGAAGGGACATGACCGCAGCAGAATCTCGTTGAAAATGTTGCTTCCCTTTGGGCAGGAGCCTGGGAGCCTAGGAATGCTCACAGAGTCTTCAAAGGGTATACTGTATTGGGAAGTGGAGACCTCTCTGAAAGTCTTCAGGAGCAGCGGCCATGGCGTCTTCGTCGTCGGGAGCAGCAGCGGCCATGGGGTCTCTTCATCGATTGAGAAGCTAGGGCTCATAGAGAGAAAATCGTGAGCAGATGTAAAGAAAGTCTGGAAGGGAGAACGAAAAGCCTAAGTACCGAAGTCTTATTAAACTTCACAGGCCCACGGCCCAAATACTTCCGCGAGCTTTAAATTATACTCCGTAAAAATGTTTGAATGTCACTAAGTGTTGTTGATACATTTGTGTTAGAAAACAGTGACACTTTTATGTTACTAGTGGTATTAAATCAGAAAGTGTCACTATAAAAGTGTCACTGTAAGCCAGTTTTCTACTAGTGTATAACACCAATGATTACTACTATCAATATAACATGATGACATAGATCAATCATGAAATGTGTAGCATGAAAATTACATGAAATGTGGCATGTACATGTAAATTTTCAACTGACCCTTCTTTAGTAAACTTTAAACTTTAATAATGTAATTGTTCAGAATATACCAAATGTCAAACTTTATTCTGATCAGAAAATAAATTCATAAAGCAATAGAACATCAAGCATAACTTATAAACTCCCACAAAACTTGAGGTTCCTTAAAATCAATGACTCCCAAGTGAGCAGTATGCTCATGAAAAACTTTTGGTGGGAGACCCTTGGTTAAAGGATCTGCTAGCATGTAGTTTGTACTTATATGTTCAATAGCGACCCTTTTATTCTGAACCCTTTCTTTAATAGCTCGATATTTCACTTCAATGTGTTTTGTCTTGCTCGAGCTCTTGTTGTTGTTAGAGTAAAGCACCGTAGATTTGTTGTCACAAAATATCTTGATAGGCTTTGAAACATCATTTAATATTTTCAGCCCATCAATAAAATTGTGCATCCATATTCCATGGTTTGAAGCTTCAAAACTGGCCAACAACTCTGCCTCCAAAGTTGAGGTAGCTATCATATCCTGCTTAACACTTTTCCAAGATACAGCACCACTAGTAGATACTTCAGCTGGCAAGGACCACTAGCAGATACTTCAACTATGGAGGCAGAGTTGTTGGAAAAGTGTTATCTACTAAAATGATAACACCACTAGTAGGTACTAGATCCACTAGTAGATACTTCAACTAGTAGATACACCACTAAAATGATAGCTGTATCTTGGAAAAGTGTTAAGCAGGATATGATAGCTACCTCAACTATGATAAAAAGACACTAGTAGATCTACTTCAGGCTATGTTTATCTACTAGCTAAATTAAAATGATAAACATAGTCTGAAGTAGATCTACTAGTGTCTTTGCAGCCGGCAAAATCAGAGTCGGGGTATCCAACGACCTCCAAATGATCTTATTTTCTATATGTAAGCACATAGTCCCTTGTTCTCTTTAAGTATCTCATAACTATTTTGGCCGCCACCCAATGAGTCATTCCTGGATTACTTAGATATCTGCCTAGCATCCCAACAATGTACGCAATATCCGGTCGCGTACAAACTTAGGCATACATAAGACTTCCTACAATAGATGCATAGAGAATCTTTTTCATTTCTTGAATTTCCAGATTTGTTTTAGGGCATTGATCGAGACTAAACTTGTCTCCTTTAGAGATAGGGGTATCACACGGTCTACAATCTTCCATGCCAAATCTTTTAAGGACCTTATCGACATAGTTCCTTTGTGATAACCTTAAGATTCCTTGTGATCTTTCACGAAGGCTTTCGATTCCTAATACAAAGGAGGCTTCACCAAGATCTTTCATTTCAAAATGTTTTGATAGAAATCTCTTGGTTTCATGCAACATGTCTATGTCATTAGTGGCAAGAAGAATGTCATCAACATATAAGACTAGGAAAAAGATTTTACTCCCACTGAACTTATGATATACACAATCATCTACATCATTCATCTTAAAACCGAAGGATAAAATGACTTGATGAAATTTGTGATAACATTGACGGGAAGCCTGTTTTAGCCCATAGATAGATTATGTTAATTTGCAAACCATTTGTTTTGGATCTCCAATCACAAAATTTTCTGGTTGCACCATATAAATAGTTTCATCAATGTCACCATTGAGAAACGTCGTCTTAACATCCATCTGATGAAGCTCTAAATTAAAATGTGCAACTAAAGCCATAATGATTCTAAAAGAGTCCTTTGATGAAACCGGAAAAAAGGTCTCTTTATAATCAATTCCTTCCTTTTGAGTATAACCTTTGGCTACAAGACGCGCTTTATATCTCTCCACATTACCCCTTGAATCCCTTTTGGTTTTAAATATCCATTTATAACCAATGGGCTTACAACCTTCAGGTAATGGGACGAGTTCCCGAACTTTATTGTATTGCATAGATTTATTCTCCTCATTCATTGCCACAGTCCACTTTTGAGAATTTGAACTTTTCATGGCTTGACAGAAGTTGATTGGATCATCTTCCATAACACCACTTTCTTCCTCATGTTCTTGAATAAACACAAGGACATCGTTCTCTGTATCCATGTTTGACGCATGTTATTGGAGATATACAACATAATCATCTGGAATTGTGTATCTCCTTTCTCTAGTGGATCGCCGCAATGGCACGTTTTCTTGTTGCACTTGTTCCAGAGGAAGTTGAGTTTGTTCATTTTGAACAATTTGTTCAGTTTGGAAAGGAGAAGATGAAATAATGCCTTGTTGAGGTTCTTCATTAGTTTCAAAAGAAACATCCATATGAATTGGTTCAAGTATTGAAATCAATTCTTCCTCAAAGACAATATCCCTAACTTTATTCTTCCCCCCAAACTCAACATCCTCTAAAAATACGGCAGTTCCCGTTTCAAAAATATTTTTATCTTCAGGATTATAAAATTTATATCCCCTAGATCGTTCTGAGTAACCAATAAAGTAACTACTAACTGTTTTGGGTTCCAGTTTCTTTTCATGTGGCCTATACAGCTTTGCCTCAGCTGGACAACCCCAAATATGAAAATGCTTTAAACTAGGCTTTTTAACCGTCCAAAGCTCATAAGGTGTTTTAGTAGTTGCTTTAGTTGGCACTCGATTAAGAATGTAAGTTGCGGTCTTTAATGCCTCACCCCAGAGGGATTCCGGTAAGATAGAATGAGAAATCATACTTCTTACCATTTCTTTAAGGGTTCTATTACGTCTCTCAGCTACACCATTCATGCTAGGTGAACCCGACATGGTGTATTGAGGGACAATCCCACATTCCTCTAGAAATTTGGCAAAAGGCCTTGGACGTTGTTCACCTGAGCCGTCATACCTCCCATAGTATTCGCCACCACGGTCGGATTTGACTTTCTTTATGCGTTTGTTGAGTTGATTCTCAACTTCCGCTTTGTAAGATTTAAACACGTTCAAGACTTGAGATTTTTCATGTATAAGAAATAAGTATGCATATCTAGAGTAATCGTCTATGAATGACACTAAATATTGTTGACCATTCCATGAAGGAGTAGGAAATGGCCCACAAATATCCGTGTGTATTAATTCTAGGACATCTGTAGCTCTATATGCACCTTTTTTCTTATTTTTGGTTTGTTTCCCTTTAATGCACTCAATACAAGTATTGAAATCAGAAAAATCAATGGAATTAAGTGTTCCATCGGACACAAGACGTTCAACTCTATTTTTAGAGATGTGACCTAATCGTTTGTGCCATAGAAAACCAGATTGTGCATTATCAACCTTTCGCTTAGTGCCTCAGGTGTCAATATTCAAAGCATTATTATATGAAGTTATTGTTTCAAGCATGTAAAGATTGTCATATGACATAAAAGAACCAGTCCCCACAATATTTGAATTTAAAGAAAAATTAAACCAGAAGTTTCCAAAGGAACAATGGTAACCTAATTTGTCCAAATAAGAAACAGAAACCAAATTCCGCCTAAATGACGGAACAATAAAAGTGTCTTTCAAATCCAAATAGAAACCGGTAGACAATAACAATCTAAAATGCCCAATAGCCTCCACATTCATCGCTTTGCCATCTCCCACATAGACGCATCTTTCAGCATCATTTGGCTTGCGGTGGCTCAGACAACCCTTTCTTCACTTTCCATGCGTGATACTTGGTACAATCCTTCTTCATGTGTTCAGACTTCTTACAGAAGAAACAGGTTGTTTCACCTTCCTTATGTTTCTTCTGTACTGGACCTTTAGCAGCTTCATTCTTAATGGGAGTTCTCTTCCTCTTTTTACCCCTATCCTTAGAGGTACTAGCCAAGTGAGCACTTTCTATCTTATTTTGTTTCATCCTCTCTTCCTCTTGCACGCAATATGAAGTGAGCTCATTAAGAGACCACTTCTCTTTTTGGCAGTTATAACTGACCTTAAAAGAATCAAATGCAATAGGAAGAGAGTTCAAGACTATGTGTAGGAGAACATCTTCCGATATCTCAATCTTAAGTGTCTTGAGCCTAGAAACAATATAAGACATTTCCATAATATACTCCCTTATATTTCCTTTTCCTGAATACCTTTTGGAAGTAAAGTCTTTTAACAACATGCTTATTTCCGCCTTATCGCTTTGAACAAAATATTTCTCAATTTCAGAAAGGAAATCCTTGGCATTAGTAACCTCATCGGATACAACACCCCAAAAAGATTCTGGAATGCCACGCTTTATGATCATAAGACTTAAGCGATTCGAGCGATCCCACTTCTCATAGTACCTTTTTTCATCTTGGGTACTACCATCCGTAAGAGAAGCAAGTTGCTCTATCCTCAATGTTAAGTCAAGATCCATGCAGCCCAAAGTTATTAGAATATTTTCTTCCATTCCTTAAAATTAGTACCATTTAGGACAAGGATGGAGTTGAGATTGGAAGATATGCTCGAAAAATTAACTGTAGAAAGAACAAGGAAATGAACATATATTTTAGTGAAATTGTAAAATGATTTTTAACCCATCACAAGATACCAAATACACCATTAGTATTTCATCTTTGGACAATAATACTAATTGCTAGCGGTACTCATGTTATAACAATAAAATATAACAATAATACATATAAAAGAAAAATCCACCTTTGGGTTGACTTTTTCTTTTAAAGTGCAACCTTATATTTGTTAGATATTTATTATTACCAAAATGTATATATAATAACTTTATAAAATATCAATCTTCCGTTGGGCTGATTAATATTTACTTTAACTATATATACCATGTTTAATATTTTATATGAGCAACTTACACAATAAATTAAAATCATTTTGATGACATATTGTTTCTATATACCCATTTAAATATTAAACTCCTTTTATTTTACAATTTCATCACAATTCAAAATTCTTACCGCAATACTACTTTAAAAATTGGCTTACGGCAATCAAATTTTGTTGAATTATACATAGTTTAAACATCGGTAATTGAATTCACCAAATTTGATTAAAGAAATACCATGAGAGTAATCAACTTTAACATCAACATATTTCTAGCAATTCAATGTTGAAAAACTTGATACTACGTGTACATATAAAGTCCACTATGTGGAAGAAATGCATTGAAATAGCATTACATATATACATACGTGTAAAACAAATTGCCAGCCACTACAATCATGTTGAATTATAACCATAAGGCTTGGATTCATGCAAATATGCAATTAAGATCAGAATTGAAGCACCGAATATCTTTAACAAATTCGAACATGAATATTCAAGAGAAAAACATGCAGCGGAAAAATAGGCATGAAACGGCAAAGTATCCCTCTTTAATTATAAGCATATGAAATGGTTCTTTCTAAAATAAATATACTTGAGACTAACAAAGAGCCTTTGAACACAGCAAACCAAAACCGAGACAAATTGCTTGAGTTTCATGTGGTCAAAGTTTCATCCGTTTAAAAGGAAAAATGAAGTGTTGAATTATTGATAAAAGCTTGATACTCAATCGGCAACAAAAAATTCCAGCGGCGATATGCCGATATATATACATAAATATGTATCCACAAAAATATTCTTCACGAATCCAATAATATGAAATCACATATTAAAACAAATTACAGACATCACGATGAACACATATACGGAATCACAAAACAATTCCAGATCTATAATGGTAGGCTCTGATATCAATTGTTGGATATTCATACATATATCAACAAAACTCCATATGCGATATATATAAATATATAATAGCTAAATCCATATAAATCCATGAAATCAAATATGTATGAACTTAGATTATAACAATACCTTGAGAATTCATTTGCATTAACACTTTAGGAAGACCCAAAAATCCAAGACCACTAGTAGGCTAAACCTTCCGATGCAGTGTATCGTATATGAGATGTCCTAGTCATATAATAGATGGGATATTTATAGGTGTAGTTTTACATTGTAACGGTTGGCCCTTGATTAATTCTAATAATTCTTTAATTATTGCTGCAATAATGGTATTATTTAGAATAATTTATTTGGCATTTTCCGTTACAATATATTTACTGTTATCTCTTAATTTACACGCACCGGAGGTCATAACCGTTGTATCACTTTAGTATAATATATTTAATTTGACCCGTCACCAAAAGAAATATATTATCCTGGTATCTACACTTTTATTATTTCATGAATAGCCACTGTATGATTTATCTGATGATAAACACATTTTAATTAATTATATATTAGACCCCTTTTATTGTTTTCCAACAGATCATCCTTCTTTTGTATTGCAAAACTATATATACACGACACGGAGTAACGTAAGAAAAAAAATTAGGTGTACAACTGGACGCCTTTTGGTGTACACCTATTATACACCCCCTATTTTGTGTGTGTACAATCACATAGATATATTCGTAACAAAAAATGTAATTTGTTTGTGAACATCCTTATAGATAGCAGGGTGTGCAAAAGGTGTAGGGTTTAATGCATCAAACCTCTCGTGAAATATAAATTCAGCATATTAGTCCATTGTGATGTAAAAAATACATCAAACCCTCTGTGCTATAGTTAATAATGCGAAAAACTCCTTTCATGAACAAATTCAATCGTCAAATATATGAAAAATTGTTAGTATTTTTGTATAATTTATAAATTTTGAAAAAATTACTTGCATATTCAATCATATTATTAAGAAAAATGATCTCAAAATTGTAAAACTTATTCTCAGAGTGAGTTTTGCAATGAATACTAATAACAGAATTTGATACATTTTTAAAAGAGATTATTCCCTGATTAGGAGTAAAAGATGATAAAAGTGCAAAATTAGGAGTGTAATGTTCCGTGTCATGAGATAGGAGTAAAAAAACATGAGTTGACAGGAATACCCTTAATGAAATCTCTGCTATCTTTGTTGAAAAATAAAATAAAATACTCCGTAGTAATAATGAAAAAGATTGTACGGAATTACACATCTCCAGACTCCAGATCTACACTCTCCAGCAAGACATCCATTGCGAAGAGTTGCGTTGTTGTCGGCACCACTGACGCCTTGCGTCTGCTGCCGCCGCCACTTCCCCACCAACGCCGCCATCTCCGTCGCCGGCTCCATTGCCACTGTCAGATTCCTCCGGTGCTAGTCACTGTTGTTGCCGCTAATGGACGCCGCCGTCATCTCCATCACCACACTGGTCGTCTCTGTCATCTTCTCCATCTCATCTGCCACAAGATTCTGTGTCATAGCCACCTATTCCAGCGCCACCTTTGTTTGTTCTAGTTCCATCATGTATTATCAATCTCAGATCCGGAAAGAGAGTTTTAAAATGCCATCTAACCATTTTATAAAAACAGGGGATGTAAATCTTATTGTCATTTTGACACTTAATGACATTTTTAATATTAGCAATATTGCCATTAATCTTATTGCCATTTTGACACTTAATGACATTTTTAATATTAGCAATATTGCCATTAATCTTATTGTCATTTGACACTTAATGACACTTTTAATATTAGGAATATTTCCATTAAGATGGAATTAGTGTCATACAAATGGCATTATGTGCAAAGATGGAAAAAATATATGATAAGCATGGCATTATTAATAATGTATTTGACATCATAGTGACATTAATTGTCAAAATAATATTTTCACAGGAAAATGACATTATTAATATTGTATTTGCCATAAAATTAAGTAATATTTTAATCCTATCACCATACAAATTACCTTAAAATTGTAAGTTCATATTTAAATCAGAAAAATAATGTGAAAAGTTACAAAAACATTGACGGAATGAATGCTAAAAATTATATAGTAAAATAAAAGGTAATAAGAGAAAAGCTACAAAAAGTTTAAACACAAAATAGAGAAGAAATCAATAAAAATAGGATAAAAATAGATCTAGAAGTAGACAAGAAACTTGAAGGAAAAAATAAAAAATCCCTAAAAATGATAGTAGTCAAGTTTCTACTAGGAAGTAGAGAGACATATACATCAATTATCTTCAATTTTTAAATCTCACTTGGTATAAATCGAAAGGAAACGATTCATTTTCATCAATTAGTGTCTATCTAGGTTGGGTTCAAAGAGAACCAACCAAATATACGGTCTCTACTCAAATTAATAAAAACAAAAAACAGTTTTTATTGCTTGGTTAATTGAGGAGGAAGAAGGGAAATAAAGGAAGGTCAGAAGAAGAAGAGAAGACGAAGTAGAAGAACAAAAAGAAGAGAAGAAGAGATCTCACCTATATCGCTGCTGCCGGTGACTGGAGATGGGAGAATAAATTGTCCAAAACTTTTGTAATCAGATGGAAAAATTACAGATCTAATACGAAGGAGAAGAACTGAAAAAATAGATGCTACGAGAGAGTCTGCAAATCCATGGGAGAGAGAGAAGAACTGAAGAAGTAGATGTGAGAGAAGAGTGACGAAAGAAAATAGAGAGAAAATAACAAGTGGAGAGAATTAATTTAGGACGGTTGTGAGGGTAGAATCGGGAAGAGAAACGGGTCACCCAACTCATAACTCCTATTCTGGGAATTAATCGAAGGCAACTCCTATAATGGAATTTTCTCATTAGTTTACTCCTATTTAAGACAATTACTTTTTTTAAAATGGTATGAAACTAATATGCTACATTTTTTTTCATGAATGAATTTGATGCATTAAACTCTCAAAAGATATGCACCACCAAAAGGTGTATACCATCCTTACGGAAATGCATATGGAAATAAAAAAAGGTAGATATGACTTAAAAAGAATTATACGTAGTACTGTGGCTCTTTACAGCTGGAAATGGGCTTATCCCACCCATTTCTACATTTTAGTGTGCATATCAACTCTGTGGACCACCCCGTGATTGCGATAGAACTTTAAATTTCTACACGTGAGACTATGTCTCAACTAAGTCTCAAACATGAACATTACGCCGCTTTCTACTTTTAATGGGAGAAGTGTGTTCAGATATTATTAATAGATTCCCAAAATAGGAGTATATGGATTTTGTAATTTCAAAATAGGAGCACAACGTTTTTATTCCCGAAATAGATTAACATGACAGTATTTACTGTCATCTTGTAGACGTGACAATGGTACAACGTATTTAACATGACATTATTTATTACTACGGATGTTTTCTTTTGGACTGAAAATTGTTGAAATAAGCATGGTGAAACCTCAGATCATTTTTTCATGGAGATGCTAAAAAAATCAGATTTTACTGTCATTATTAATTTATTATGTTTTTATTGACATGGTGAAACCTCGGATCATTTACTGTCATCTGATTATTTCAGCATCTACATCCATGATCTACATTCATGTGGATGCTACATATCATGGAACATCCACATCCATGATACTGAAATAATCAGATTTTTTTATGACACGTAGATTTTTTCAAAATAATCTCACACTTTGTAAATTACATCATTCATCATCTCAAAATTATCAGATCTTTTGTGGGTTCTGCACTCCCTAATTAATACTCGGTTCACAATAATCTTGAGATAATCCGGATTCATATTTCAATCCCAGATTATTTTGTCATATAATCTCACCAAATAATCTTTATCACTCAATCATGATCTCAAAAATAATCTGCCACATCACCAACTTAATCCTCTAATAATCCTATGAATGGAGATGCCCTAATCATGTAGCAACCTAATTTCATATGACTCCCTATTTTTTTCCTCATATAGCTTCACTTTATTGTGGTGTTCACTTATTTACTTATAGTCTTGTACATTATAAAGTTAATTTGCGGGTGAGGGAGAACACATAGTGGTGGAATTAGTGAAATCAAAATGTCTGCTCTCATAGCGAGCTAATCCTAAAAACATATAATTGTGAATGATAGTTTGTACCCCTATATTGTGTCAATTTTTATGTCCATGTACATTACATTCAAAGTGTTGTACCTTAATTTTAAGACGGGCAAAATGCCATTAAGCCGTTAATGATTTAACATTAGTGAGATGTAATCAACATTGTAACTGTAGGTCTTTTGTTTTTTATCAATAGACTTTATTGATATTATTTAAGTTAAGCTGTTTGCAAATTTCATGTTCCTAAATATTTAATTTGTTTATATTGATCAAATCAGACCGTCTATATAAATAACAACATCTAATTGATAAGAGAAGGAAGAGTTCCCTGACAAACTATTCAATCTAAAAGTGATTATTAATTTGTGTAAGGAAATACATTTAGTTTTAGATATCTATAAAAAAAGCATATAACACTTTTTCTAAAAATCATAATGTTAGATAATAAACTATGATAATATCACTAGGTTAAACATAAAATTCCGCGCCTTGCGCGAACAATTGCTAGTCATAGATATACATACAGACCCAAAGGGCATATTAAGAATGTCTTACTGAATAACCTCAATTGATGTTTTGTATTGCCTTGCATAGTGCACAATAGGTGTCACGCCCCGGACCGCATCCGTGCCACGTAGACAACCGCCGTACAACCCAATAAGAACAACGTAGTTCATTCTTATTGAATCATACAAGGCGTCCGTTGAGTTCTATTGCCAAACCGATTAGTAAACCCATACAATCAACATCAATATATATTAGTCAACGAATGCGGAAAATAAGATATGTTTGATACTTAGCCACACGTGGCAAATACGGACACGCAGGCCCCTCAAATGTTTTAATGGAAAACATTGTTAAAAACATCCATGAGCAGTTTATAAACTTTGAATAAGAATGGAAGCACGAACCACGTCTTCCTCTTTGATCAATCACCCTTGGCGAAGGTGCAGGTAGTAGGACTCTAGCCTCAACCTGAAAAATGTGAGGGCCCCCGAAGGGGTCAGTACTCCATAGAAGTACTAGTGACAAGCAGGCTATATGAGGAATAACTAATGTTTCAGACACGAGACCCAAAAATAGGGTGATACATATGCTTATAGGTGTAACCATTGTTACCCCATTCCCAAGATAATACATAATGTATATACTTGTAAAATACTTGACCCGTAGGTCGTTTTATCACAAAGAGTCTTTTAGAGATAAGGTACTTTCCCAACCTATCCCCTTTTCATTCCTGAATGCCTAGCTTGAGAGCTACATTCTACCTTCATAATATCCTACCGAGTTTCAGGAGGGTTTACCGTCCCGAGGATACTCAACCCCAAC